ACGAATATTTAAATCGAGCCGAACACGAACACACTGTTCACGAGCCGATTTCGAACACGAGCCGATTTCGAACACGAGCTATTTCGAACGAGCCGAACACGAGCCAAGCCTGAGCTCGCTCAAGCTGGGCTCGTTTACAGCCCTAACGGTGGCCGATAGAGGTGGCATGGTCATGACTTCCTCACTTCTTGTCGATGCACCGTTAGGTGAGGTGTTTCAAATGCTACCATTTCAAGTCAGAAGTAGCCATAATTTCAAAAGCAAAAAATAAAATTGGAAATGGGATCTTACAATCTTCTTAGTTAACTCCAATATCTTTAGAAATTTTGTAAAAAGTTTACAAAAATTTCATTCATCTTTTCATTCAATTTGATTTGAAACTAAGAATGATAACACACATATTTATATAAAATGATATAACACTATAAACTTTATGCATATGATAAGCATGCATGTCATATAATAAGTGTAAGTCATTCGGCATGCATGGCTTGGGGTAAAAAAGGCATGCATGATGAACTTTTGTGTTTGTTTGTATATATACATTCAATTACTATGATTATTATAACGTATATAAAGTTAAATTTTCATACCAGAATCATGCGTAGAAATTGTATATCATAAACAGGTGTGGAATTAAGTACCACCCAAATTTTCGATATCACTTAAAATTATGAACTTCTTAACCTTTAAAAAGTGTAATACACATTTTCATCAACAAGAAATGCAGAATGTATGTAAATATTAAAGTTTAGTTGTTAGATTTGTAAATACATAGAAATTGAGTGATATGTATGTAAATCTCCCAAATAAATTATTTGGAGCCATTTAAATTAAGTATAATAAGAAAGCAACTAAATTTTTTAAGGAAAAAATAATAATAATAATAATAAACTTATCGAATGAGCAGTGAACTGTCCGAGCATTTCTTTTACCAAATGCTGACAACATTTTAAATAATAATAATAATAATATAAATGATATGCCATCAACAAATTTTCAACAAATTTTCATCATCTGACACCTGACACGAATCTTGAGGCATCACATGCATCTCGAGTCAATCTTTTGAGCAAAAAAAATTATATTTTGATAAAGTCATCCAGAAGTCCGATTTCAACAAATTTATAGTAAACTGACCGGCTCGATGAGACGCCACAATGATATCAAAATTGGTCTAATCCATGTCAAATCAGGCTCAAATAAAGTCATTAAGCCACTTTTGGAAGTTTTCGGGCATATTCGGAATGACAATTAGATGATGAATCTGGTGAGCTATAGTCAAATCGAGCGTCTCGACAAGATGAATCATATGAGCCCAAGATCACTCACTTTAGACATCATTAAGACACTCAAATGTTCATCATAGGCTATCTAATCAAGGGAATCCATATGAGATGTCTGATCAATGTGGTTCAAATATCTTAATTCATTGCAATTAGGACTTTAAAAATAGAACACCACCCCTCTCATGATGAGGGATGAGAGAGAGCTTGAAGCCTGAAGAAGGCTAATACTTAGAGAAGGAGCTGAAGTTGCCTCATGCTCCTCCAACTCTCACAATCGCCAACCACCATCGACCACCGCTTGCAGATCGTCACATATTCATTGCAACAACTTCATCTACGTACTGACGTTATAACTTAATAGATTATGTAACAATTTCCCATCCTTGGGATAAAGAGTCTCTGTAATCATCAACTTATTGTGAATTTTTACAACAGGGTCGGGCCCTCGTGAATTTTCTCTATTCTAGGTTCTCCACGTAAAAACTTTTGGTATCTCAACTTGTTTTTTGTTTTTCACTTGAGTGTGGAATCTTCGTACAATGCTAAAACAATAATTTGTTACTCCACCACCACGAATCTTCTATCACGAATTATTTGGGAATCGTTTGTGGAACATAGAGCATTCTCATCACTAAAGTACTTCTAAGATTTGTTGCATGGCCACCAGGGTGACACTATCGACATCTATACACAACTCCCTTTAAAGGAAATCCTACAAAAACCATAAGCATCGAGAAGATTAGTTAAATGGGAGGTAGAATTAGGAGTATTCGACATTCATTATCTACCACGACAAAATATCAAGTCACAAGTGTTGTCGAGTTTGTGATGGAGTGTACAATGTCTGCTTCTGATGAGCTGCCTCTTTCTTCTCCACTGTCATATTAGTGGACACTGTATGTGGACTGAGCGTCCGAAAACATTGGAGCTAATGTTGGATATCTTGTAGTACAAGCTCTGCTTGAAAATTCCAGCCAACAATATTGTCGTCAAGTATGAAGTCCTTGTCGCTCATCAACTGTGAAGTACAAAATATAATTATCTAAATTGATTCACAGCTCGTTGCATTCCAAGTAGAGGGAAATTTTGACACCACTCCATGCAATGAAGAGCCGTGTGAAGCAACAACTAATGTCAGGGAGTCACGAAGCAAACTATGAAGCAATGCATCATCCCGAACACCGGGCTAACTTCAAAGACAGAGCAAGAACACACTCCAAAGATGATTTTAACAATGCACCACAAAGACAGTGCTACTGTGCATCTCAAAGATGGGATAATGATGAACCTCATGTACGCTCATGTAATTCATGACTCCGGCCCCTACAACTCACCATTATGGTCGATATGACCTACGTGATCCACAACTCTCTACTCTCTATGAACAACCGATGCTCCTAAAGCAACCATCTATGACTCACATGGTCAACTACTGTTATGGTTATCAACCACAACTTCTACTATAAGCTGACACTACAACCGTCATCTACAACACTCACGACAGACAACTATCTCAACATCAATTGACTATGACCCTTGCTGCCAGGTGTTGCCGAGAACTACAGTAAAATTATGGATATACAAATTTGTAATTTCATCTTCTCTAATTCAGGATAATAGTGGACTTCTCTACTCACAATTCATAGTGGATTATTTCAATTGGACCATACACACTATTTTTTCCACTTCCAAGGGTTTTCTACATAAAAAATCAAGACGTCTCTGTCTGCTTATTTTTCTTTAATCAGCTAAATGTGTGCTTGTTTTTCATGCACCGCTAAAATGATAAATAATTATATTATTCTACCGCCACAAATCTTCTCGCATGTATCAATAAAAAGTGGCAATTATATAAATAGCACTCAAAAATATTATTATTTATGAATCCAATACTCTCAATCTATATTTCAAATTCTCACTCAAATATCAACATTCCCACCCAATATTTTCATTTTGATCGAAGTCTCATACAAAAATGTACGAGCTCAAAAATTCACTGGGGTGCTAATTTTGTAAATACACATCAGCAATACTGGCCTTTTTAACTTTTTGAAATACACATTTTACACGCATAAGAAATGTGATATGTAAATATTAATATTAATATGTTAGATATGTAAATACATAATAATTTAGTATTATATATGTAAATCTTCCAAAAAATATGCATTTAATTTAAATATAATAAGAAAAAAATTAAAATATTTAATCAAAAAAAAACCCATCCACTCACTTTTTTTACTGTTCCAAAATTACTTTTACCAAATACTTAATAACTCTAACATAATTTAAAATAATAGTAACATAAAAAAAAGGAAATAGCAGTCAAAACATTCCTATTTACAAATATAACATCCTCATTCATCTATTTTTAAAATTCTCACTCAATCAAAATTCACAATAAAAACTCACCCCCCTTTTTTTTTTTATCAAATTAACATAAAATGTGAGCTCAGTAGCTCTAAAAATCACTACGGCACTAAATTTTGTAAATAGTAAAGTTGCGAAAGCAATAGTTCAAAAAATGTAAAAAAAGAAGTCTTAGGGCCCATTTGGGACAGTTTATAAGTGTGGGGGCGTTTTCAAGTACTGTTTGGTTCGTGCGTTTTGTCGGTTTATCTGAAAACGTGATTCCATTTTTACACTAAACGCAAGCCGACTTACGGGTTGTGTTTCAGGATAAGTTTGGTTTGCGCATTTTGCCCGCTTATCCAAAAACGCGGTTCCATTTTTACACTAAATACAGGTCACAGGTCAAACCCCGCAGTCGACTTGCGGGTTGTGTTTCAGGATAAGTTTTTATCCTGAAACGCACAAGCTGCCCCAAACACACCATTAGACAGTGTTTCACCTCCACCTTAATTTTCATTAAATAGAATTTATCAAATTCGATAAATTCAGAATTATCAAATCAACAGTGTAACAATTCTTCTCACAAACGGCGGAATAAAACTGTCTGGCAGTTGGATTTATTAAATCTGAATTTTAGTCATATAGATGATGGAACACACAAAGAAGAAAATGAAATACGAGAAAATTGAATTCAACGTAAAGTTGGATTTTTTTTTTAATTTTTTGGCTAGATTTAAGTTAAATCAATGCTACCAATCGCCGTCTTAATATTGCAGATAAGAATCTTGCAATGCACAATGCAGCACACTTCATCTAATCAAAGCAGAGCTCAGCAAAAAGCCAAAACCCTAGATTATATCACTGAAGAAGATCCAAATTATGAAAAGAAGAGCTTAATGTTAATCAAAGGTTGGGATCACCAGTCCAGTCTTTCCAGTCTTTATCGATATGTTCTTGGGCCCATAAGACTGCAGCACGTGCGGCCTGAGGTCCTCCGGGTAGCCCTTTTTCATTTATAGTGTCAGCCATGTCGATGAAGGGCACGACCATGAGAGTCCCGGGGCCACCATACTCGGTGTGCAGGAAGTCGCTCAATATCTGAAAAGGCAGAAAGAGAGGGTTGTTTTTGTTAAGTTTCTTTTGTGGAAGCTGAAGTTCATTTGTGATTATTTCAAACATATTTTTGAAATGATATTTTTTTAATCGACATAATCAAAAATATTTCTACAAAATTGGCATTTAATCTATCTATCTATCTACATATATATATATATATATATATATATATATATATATATATATATACAAAATTGTATTGTGTGGACTTGAAGTGGCGACATCAGTATAATATCACGGCTATGAAAGGAGACATTTACAGTCCTACCATGTCAATTTCAATTTTTTAAAATTTTACTTTTAATTTATAATAATTCTGATAATTAAAAATAAATATATAATTTAAATTCTTTTATCATTATTTGTTCACATTTAAATAGAGGCTAATTAATATTTTAATTGAAGGAGCTAACATTTTATTAAAATATAGTTTTAACAATTAAATTTATGATTGTAAGATGATTTTAAAAAATATAATTTCATATTTTATGATTAATTAATTTTATTTTTTAAGGAAATAAAATTTAAGTAATATTTTATGGGGAGATCTGAATATTGTAATAAAAAACGAGATAGAAAACTCAAAAAAGGTATGTTTGTTGGAGTCTGATAGAGAGGAGACTATTTATGAGCATGGATGTTTCCTTTTGAGAGCTCGAATCGTACTAAACTTTGGAGGTTACCTCGCCATTTGATGACTAGTGAGATGCTAGAAATATGAGACATGAGAGGGAGAGTAGTGATAGTCATGGATTGGTGCATGTGGGAAAAATGTCTTGTCCCGTTGGGTGGAAAGTCAGCAGAGAAAGAGCTAAGAAATGAGAAGAATTAGCCCAAAGGTGAAATAATTCATGATCAAAGGGAGCTGATAGTGTATATAAGGAGGAGGCAGAATGAGAGAACAATGTTTGTCGTGTTACTAGTGTCATGAAGTCCCTTGTCCCTGTCTACCCCGACTCCTGAGACATCTACACATTCCACTTTAGAATCTGATTACCCTGGTGATATAATTCCTCTCCCTTCTCCTCCTACTCCCATAGCTTTAAGGAAGACCTCTCGTAGAAATGCATGTCGTTCTCTTGATCGTCATTCTCCCGATTGTTTTGGTTTTTTACATCACATTACTCAGTTTGTCTCATACTCTAACATATCGTCTGTACATTGAGCATTCATTGCATCTTTAGACATTATCTCTATACTCATGTGTTGATAGGTCGCTAAGGAGAATCCAAAGTGGAAGGCTGTCATGCTGGAAGAACTTGGTGCTCTTGATAAGCACAGGACGTGGGAGATAGTACCATTACCAGCGGGGAAAAGAGCATTTGGGTGCAAGTGGATCTTCATAGTAAAAACAAAATCCAAAAGGGAAAATGGAGCGTTACAAGGCATGATTGGTGGCGAAGAGGTACGATTAGACATATGACATTAACTATGACGAGACTTTGCACTGGTAACGATGATAAGCATAGTGAGAGCACTGGTTTCTTTGGCTAAGAATGGTGGGCGAAGGCTACACCAACTCGATATGAAGAATGTTTTTCTTCATTGTGGGTTACTGGAGGAGATGTATATGGAGATACCACCAGGATTTAGTTCAGGTCAGACAGTGGGTAAGGTGTGCAACATCAGGAACTCGATTTATAGCTTGAAGTAGTCGTCTCTTGACAACTTTAGGCATGAGATATCAGCAGATCAATGTCGATCAGAAAGTGTTCTTTAGTAAAAAAGAATGTCACATCACTATGCTTGTTGTGTTGTTGATGACATGATTATCACTGATAATGATGAGCCAGAGATTGCTCAACTAAAGGTAAGATTGAGCAAAAAATTTGAGGTGAATGATATTAGACAGCTCAGATATTACCTTGGGATTGAGGTGACTCGTGAACCGGAAGGGATGGTTTTGTCTCAGAGAAACTATGTATTAAATTTCCTCACAAAAACATGCATGCTGGGATGCAAGCCTATAGTCTCTTTAATTGATCAGAAAATCAAGTTGAGTGTGGAGGCAAGAGAGTCAGTTGATCATGAGAGATATCAGAGTTTGGTGGGTCATCTGATATATCTGAGTCACATGCATCCCGATATCTCATTTGTAGTGAACGTGACGAGCCTCCATATGCATGATCCAAGGAAATGTCATATGGGCGCAGTGTATCAGATTATGAGATACCTGAAGAGTGCACCAGGTAAGGAGTTGATCTTCATGAAGAATTGGCATATAGACATTGAGGGCTATTGTGATGCTAATTGGGTGAGTTGTGCATATTACAAAAAAATTCACCACAGGATACTGCATGTTTGTAGGAGGCAACTTGGTCTCTTGGAAGAGCAGGAAATAATTTGTAGTAGCGAGGTCAACAACAGAGGCAGAGTACAGAGCCATGGCCGTACGAGTTGTTGAGATGATGTGGTTGAGAGCCTTATTGGTCGAGCTCAAGGTGGATCGAGGAACTCAAGCGAATTTGTGGTGTGACAACAAGTCAGCAATCAACATTGCTAGCAACCCGGTGCAACACGATAGAACCAAACATGTGGAGATTAATAGATTCGTCATCAAGGAAAGTTGAATAACGGGCTACGAAAGCCAAGTCATGCAGCCACTAAAGAGCAAGTGGTTGACTGCCTCGTAAAAGAACATAGTTCATCAGATTTGCCTCGATTACGTGACAAGATAGGCTTAGTGGATATCTTTTGCCCAACTTGAGGGGGAGGGGGTGTTAAGATTTGTATCTTATTTTGAGGGGTTTAACTGGAAATAGAAAAAATAAAGGAAGTTTAGGGGTTATTAGTAAAAAGGTTGTAAGGCTCTATAGAAGCCCAACTCACGAAGGAAGATAGAATTTTTAGCAAATGTATTCATTTCTTCAAAAATGCACTAAAGTTAATGGATTAGAGTTACAACCTGAAATTTATGCACAAAACAAATTGAATGATCCATAAATCTCGATCTCCTCGTCTTAATTCAGCATTAAAATTTAGTGAAGTGCCTACTTTTATGAAATTGCATAGCAAGTTTATTGCAAATGGAAACAGAATCCTCACAAGACTATGTTGTAATAAACGAAAAACAGGATGAAGCATGCCGTCTGTTTAACCAAAAAAAGGCATGCATCTTTTGTCAATTTGAAAAATGTCAAATTTTGAAGAATATATATTTTTGAAATAGTACTACAATGATTTAGATCCGATACACAGAAGTAAAAAAGGAGGAAAACTAATCAAGGAGAAAAATGCTTTGACGCATTTCATCTGCATAACATAGACTTATATTCAAGTGGTTGAGCAGCAATGGGTAATGCCATTCTACAGGACAAAAATATGGCGAATATAATTTTTTTTAGGGCGATTTACATACATATCAAACAATTCTCATGTATTACCTATTAAACACCTAAACATTCATATTTAAATGCATACAATTCAACTCTTTAACATCACATCAAATACCACCATCATTACTTTTCAAAAAGTAAAATACTCTTTTTCATGCATTTAGTCTATGGCATCAAGGTGTCATAAGTATAAATATCAAACTTTGGATATAAGATATGTAAATGAGTAAGAATTGAATGACATGTATATAAATTTCCCTCTTTTTTTCAAGTTTTTAGAAGAATCCTTTGCTAAATTACCTTGATAATGACTTTTACTACCACATTAGAGTTTGCTTCATAATAAAGTAGTTATCCAAGTGATTTCTGTCATTAAGCTAAGTAAGCAATATTATTCAAATAGCGTACCATGATGAAAGCTACACTAACGTCAAAAATCAAGCATCGTCCGCATCATTCTCACTCTAATATCTATTTCTCCATGAGATTATAATGTTTCTTTAGAAAACAAGCAAATTAATCATTTCATTTTGGAAATTTTCTCAAATCTATCAGAATAATCTTCCCCAATCTAAGGAAATTAGGGAACATTTTCTCAAATCTATCAGAATAATCTTCCCCAATACAACAACAACAACAACAAAGCCTTAATCCCACTACGTGGGGTCGGCCACATGAATCCTTTTTTCTCCATTGCGTCCTATTTAGTGTCATATTTTCATTTAGTTCTAATAAAATTCAACTCTTTAACATCACATCAAATACCACCATCATTACTTTTCAAAAAGTAAAATACTCTTTTTCATGCATTTAGTCTATGGCATCAAGGTGTCATAAGTATAAATATCAAACTTTGGATATAAGATATGTAAATGAGTAAGAATTGTATGACATGTATATAAATTTCCCACTTTTTTTCAAGTTTTTAGAAGAATCCTTTGCTAAATTACCTTGATAATGACTTTTACTACCGCATTAGAGTTTGCTTCATAATAAAGTAGTTATCCAAGTGATTTCTGTCATTAAGCTAAGTAAGCAATATTATTCAAATAGCGTACCATGATGAAAGCTACACTAACGTCAAAAATCAAGCATCGTCCGCATCATTCTCACTCTAATATCTATTTCTCCATGAGATTATAATGTTTCTTTAGAAAACAAGCAAATTAATCATTTCATTTTGGAATTTTTCTCAAATCTATCAGAATAATCTTCCCCAATCTAAGGAAATTAGGGAACATTTCTATACATCCCATCATAACTGTTTAAAATATACATACATTTATTATCATTTTATTATTATTATTTTTTTGGATTACCTACTCTATTATCTTCCTCATTTATTTAGGTGCAACACCAATTTTTCTTTAGTATCCGCTATTTGATAGTACTCTACACCCATGTTTGATGATTTTAATCTTACCAGTCATCATGTGATTTTGATTTATAACTCAAGTTACTTCAAGCTTTCTCTATAATACTTGTTCTCATGATAATATTATTTCAAGTTAAATGGATATTACCCAACAAGTTCATGTTAATGTAATAATATGCTGATGCTTCCATTATTGCGACTAATTAAAAATAATAGAATCTGTATTTTATTATGTATAAAAACTTCTTTTTTTAAATATTTCTTTAAATTTAGATCATCATAGTATATTTTTTATTATTAAACAAATAAGAAATTAATGTGTGTGTGTGTGTGTGTGTGTGTGTGTGTACAAGTTTCAAATAAAAAATTGCATGATGCATCTACATAATCTGCTATTGCGTTCGATGTTTTCTTATTGAATGATAAATCTAAAATTTTGCTTAAAATATATCTTCTCTAGTAAAATTTTTAGGTAGTAGAATCCAATTCTTTGATGGATATGAAGGGATTTGATTATTTTCTTTATGTTTATCAGAGTTGAGAAACATAGTAGCTTTGAATTGAATGAGGTAAATTTAATTTTTTAAATTCAACTTCAATTCATCAAATAGTTAAGACCATAAAATAAAGAGGAAATTACATATATATAGCACTCAAAACATTGTTATGTGCAAATCTAACACCCTCTTTCATCCATGTTTTCCAATTCTCACACAAATATCGAAATTCACAACAAAACCCCAACCAATATTTTCATTCCCCCGTCTATCAAATTAATATAAAAAAAAGGAAATTTTGAATATTGCAGCCCTGAAAATCAACTGGAAAAGCTATACTCTCTGCAAATACTATCTAAACTAGAATAGAATCACTAACCTCGGTACAGATACACACAATTTCTTCCAGCGAATCGTCAAATATGTCCTTCTTCGACAACCTCTCGATTAGATGAGCCCTAAACTTACTCGTCTCCTGAAACAAAACAATCAACGATCCTCACGATAGATTAAAAAAGAGCAGAATCAGGCAAATCTTCAGAAAAGTAAACAATTAGCAGGCATGGAACTCACAGCTTCCGCTCGGGAATCGGGTCCGGAAAAACGTATTCCACTGCCTTGCAGAAGATGCGGGTTGAGGAGGGGGGTGCTGTTGATGGTCTGTGAGGGCAAGCGCGATGAAGTTTTGCAGTGAGAGAGAAGTTGGGATAGGGAAGACGGCGGTGAGAGGGTGGCGAGAAGGCTCGGAAGCAGGAGAAAACATAGTGCCGCGAAAGAAGGGGAGACGGCGAAGGAGAGACTGCAGAACGCCGAGGTTTACAGGAAGATGGAAGAAGAGTGGAGGTTGAAAGAGGGCTTTGGGATGCCATCCTTTATCTCCTCTTACTCAAAAGGGAACGAGTGCAAGATTTTAACTTTGTTTTTTATTAGATTTTTTTAAAGATTTTTTGTTTCTAAATTAAATAAAAATTTATTAATACAAGGAAGACTGGGATACATACCACTCAATTTTTACATATATAACACCGAAATTTTAATACAAGGAAGAGTGGGATATCATATATATATATATTCGCCCTCACGGTGCCCTAGCCGTGATTCTTCGCTGCCCTCCTCGGGACTGCCCTAGCCGGCGGCTGCTCGCCGCGGCTTCCCCTCACCGTCGGTTGCTCTTCTCCGGTCGGCTCGACAGCAAGGGATTGCGATGTTCGAGACG